TCTGTGTAGGGTACATGTCTACGTGTAGGCTAAACAACAGCTGGAATGATTTAAATTGAAGCTGAATGTTGTTGATGTTTTTTAAAGAATTGTTTACGTTTGAAGGACAGGTCACATTTTTCTGATGCATGATGGTCTATATTGACTGGTCAGTGACAATAATTTGTTCACGATGCATTGTGGGAAACAGAGTCCACAGTAGTGAGCAGCAGTGATTTCAGACACAGACTCTGTCTCTGAGCTCTGGTTCCATTTTTGTTTTTCTGCAGCACACAGAACAGGAGTGTGTGTGTGTGTGTGTGTGTGTGTGTGTGTGTGTGTGTGTGTGTGTGTGTGTTTCACTGCCACTGTTCAGATTGGAGAATCAGCCGATGACAGTTGAACATTTTTTAACTTTTAAAAATTAGTTTCAATCTTAGTTTCAGTCTAAATCTTTTTTGAGTCATTATTTAACGTGTCACATACAATAAATGACCAAAAGTATGTGGACAGCCGAACACGTGATCAGTCAGTGAACTGCTGATGTTGCATCTTTTAAAATCGTGCTCATTTTAAATCAACAGTAAAAACCAGTTCAACTTAAATCGACACTTTAAAACTTTTCTACCTGAAAGCAGCAGATTCAAACCATGGAGCCTTGTGTCCGTGTTCTGTGATGATCCCAGGACACGAGGAAGAAATGGATGAACTGTTACGAGTTGGTAATAAACAACTGAATCTATATGATGTTATTTCACCTGAGACAAGAGGAACGTTATCGAACCTCCTCCACCTTCACCACCCCGTCAGACACACTTGACTCTGTGCTGTCCTCTAGTGGACATATTGCTAAACTGTCATGCCACCTGAAACTCTGTGGGCAGTGACGGTTACATGGTTTGAAACGGACGAATCTCTTTTCATACGTAGGAAAATACATGAGCCTTAAAGCTGAACTGTGATCAGTTCAAAAACACTGAGAGTTTATCTGCAATATTCAGCAGGAAACTTTAAAACATGGAGAACTCTAAACAGAGACGGTGGATTTGTTACAGCAGCAGCTCTTCTGGGTCAGGAAGCAGAGGATCATGGGTAGACCAGTGGGTCGACACGGTCACTTCATCGCTCAGAGACGTGTGGCTGCAGAGGGCGCTGCTGCTCAGTAACAGTTGTTGACTTAACGATTCTGAATCTAAATTTATTTGACTTTCCTGTGGAGTAAAGAGAAACTCTGCTCAGGCTCATTTTAATTGGTCCCTAGCTCTCTGAAGTCCCGCCCACCACTCTTCTTCTCGCTGTGTCTTTTATCGTTTGAATCAAACATCCAGAGACCGAAGACTCAAACCTGAAGCCAGAGACGTCGACACGCTGCTGCTCTGAAGACGAAGAAGAAGATGATGATAGTGAAGGTTTGTTCAGAGTGCGTGGTTTCCCATCAGTGATCCAGGAGATGCAGGGGATTGTGGGAGGTGGAGTCCCGGCAGTCAGAAGAGACAGAACTTCTTCTTCATGTCGTTCTTCTTCCAGAGAGACAGGCAGTCGAAGTCGTCGATGGACATCCCGAAGACACTGAAGAACTCCTCCTCAGAGAGGTGGCGCTGCAGGAGCCAGAGACACAAACTACTGTCAATGGAGCACAACACTTCCTTCAGGGGTTTCACAATAAAACATGGAACCTGAGGTGGTGGAGGACCAATCAGGTCTTTACCTCCAGTCTGGTTCTGTCCACACCAGGAGGCAGTCTGCTTCGTCCTCTGTGAGTCACCACCAGCATCTGGTACGGATAAATCTGCAGACAGCAGTGTGTGCGTCAGACTGTTCCACAAAACAGTGGACATGTTGTGTAGACATGTTGTGTAGTCATGTTGTGTAGACATGTTGTGTAGTCATGTTGTGTAGTCATGTTGTGTAGTCATGTTGTGTAGACATGTTGTGTAGACATGTTGTGTAGTCATGTTGTGTAGTCATGTTGTGTAGACATGTTGTGTAGTCAGTGTGTGTAGACATGTTGTGTAGTCATGTTGTGTAGTCGTGTTGTGTAGTCATGTTGTGTAGTCAGATTGTCGACTCGTTCACAACAACAGGAGCATTTGGGTAACGAGGGGCGGAGCCTGTAGAGCAGCAGGAGGCGGGACATGGCGTCTAAACTGTGTAAAGATCAGTGTTGTTGTTTACAGCTCGTCCACACGGCGTCGGCCCTCATCACCAAAACATCTGGAACCTCTTCGTCTGTCCAAGTGGACGTCTTCGTTAGAAACCTCAGAGACTCGCTCACTGAGAAGGTTCCAGATGTTTTCTCTCTTGGACTCACTCTGACATTTTACAGATGTTTAGAGGCTGCAGGAGACTCTCACATACAGAACACGTCAGGAGCATGTGAGGAGCATGTGAGGAGCATGTGAGGAGCATGTCTGTGGCTCAGTTCAGGTGTGACAACAGCAGTATAGGACTGTGAACAGTATTATACAGTAATATGTTTCACATTATGAAATGTTAAAAACTAACCGGATGCTCCAACATGCTGGGCAGAGAGTTTCCTCTGTCCATCCTCGAGTCTCCGTTCTGCGGCACAGAGTCCAACACATGTTTCTATTCACAGGAATATTCTTTTTATTACTGTTCTGAATGTGAATGAATGATGAGTAACTTTAGCATTTTTAAGTTTTGTATAATGTGTGAATGGACTTCCTGAATAACTCATGTAAAATAAATCAACATTAAATGAATCTTATTATCAATGAAATGTATGAAAACAGTCAGACTGTACCTGGAGACCTGCACAGACAGAAAGAGTTGAAGACAGATCAGTCGTTAGCTTCATATAGATCATATCACATCATATCTAATAAATATCTATATATAGATTAGTGATGAGCGGATTGGTGCAGGTTTAAATAACACGTTTCAATAATATCACATTTTAAAGCAGGTGTTGTTTGTAATATTCAGATTCATGTTTTTATAGAGAACAGTTTAGATAATAAGAAGAATGATGAATGATGGTTTGATCTAAAGTCACTTTACCTGCAGGAGTTTTGTGGGAGGAGCTGAACTCTGTAGACTGAAGCTGAAAACAAGCACAAACATGGTCATGGCCACGTCACGGGACTCTGCTCTGATTGGACGGTTGAGCGTTACTCACCCTGGAGAGGCTGGACTTAGAGGAGTCTGGGAAATAAACCGACCTGGAGGCGTTTGACCCTGAAGAGGAGGAGGAGGAGAAAGAACAGAAAGAAGTTATCAGGTCATCCAGGACTCGTTCAATCCTCCTCCTTCACTTTTACTTCCTCTTTCTTCCTTCTTCCACCTCCCTCCTCCCTTCTTCCTGCTCCTTTACCCTCCTCCCTCACGTTTACTTCCTCCTTCTCCTCCCTCCTCCCTCTTCCTTCCTGCTCTTTCCTCCTCCTTCCTCCACCATCCTCTTCCTCTCTCCTTCCTGTGATCTGATCTGATCGTTTATAAATAACATGGAAGTCTGTAGTCTGCACCTATTCTGACCACTAGGTGTCCCCAGAGCTCTGATTGCTTCACCCCAGGTTATTAAAGGTCAATGTTTCAGATATTCACACACACACACACACA